GTAACTTGTTCACTCACTTCCCCCCCCCCCCCCTTCTTTCCCTCCCCCTACTCCCGGAGGGACGGAGAGGAGAATCGAAAAGAATGCAACTCCCACAGGTTGAGATAAGAACAGTTTAGTAACTAAGGTATAACACAAATCACTACTGCTACCACCAATGATAATAATTATAAAGGAAATAACAAGGGAAGAGAATACAACACCTCAGCACCAGCCGACCGATAACTTGCCCCCCTCAGCCTGACCAAGCACCAATCAATACCTCCTCCAACCCTGCAGTCCACCAGCCCTTCCGGCTAACTCCCAGTTACCCCTGGGCATGACGTGCTGTGGTATGGAATACCTCTTTGGTCAGTTTGGGTCAGGTGTCCTGTCTCTGCTTCCTCCCGGCTTCCCCTCCTCCCTGGCAGAGCATGAGGCTCACAAAGTCCTTGGCCAAACCAAAACATCCTTGTTATCAGCTCTGTTCCCAGGCCGAAAGTCAAAACACTGCACTGCACCAGCTACCAAGAAGGAGAAACATGACTGCTACTGCTGAACCCAGGACAACATAAATAACTGAAGATGGCATCTTTAGTAAGATTCATATTCATGCATATATTAAAATACTCCTATTAATATAAGCAAGCCTCTCAAAAAGGAAAAGAAGCACTGAAGATCAAATTCTCATGTGAGACAAATTATTTAGGAAAAAGAAGACATAAAGGCAACCTTTCAAATATTATATACTTCTATTTCCTGCTTCTCTCCCATACCCACCCAAACCCCCCACCCCAAAAAAGAAAAAAGCCCAAACAACAACAACAAAAAAAAAGCCACAACTCCCCAAGAAACCATTTTTAATATATTATGAAATTCTTCTGTGCCTTATAAATCAAGGTAACAAATCTCAACAACCATTTAAAGGACAGCCTTATGTCACAACAATGAATGCTTAGCTTTCTAAATTTTGTCTCATTTCAAAAGCCAAGCATTCTCATCTCATAAGTCTGAAGACTTGAATGGAAACAAGGGGCAACTATCGATCAGGGTCTACTTTTATTCAGGCGGTTTCTATGACAGTTTTATATAGCCATTTAATTTTGCCATCAACTTGCCACTCATCACAAAGCAAGCATAAATCAGGGTCATTCTGTCTTCAGCTAGGCAGGTATACATTGCCTTGCAACAGATCAACACCCATTCTTACACCTGTGTGCTAGAAGCAAAAGATGTTAAAGTCCTTTTCTTTTTCCCTACCAGCTATTTTAAATTCATACATGGAAAATTTCACCTCCTCAATGAAACATTTGATCCAATCAATTCAATACAAGGAATGAATTTCTCACTAGGAATAACAAAGCATATAAAATACTTCACATATTCCACTGGGAGTCATGTTTATACATAATCCGTTAAAAGGCACTTGTTTAGGAGAAACCAGCCCTATGAACAGGACCATCTTCAACACTAAAGGGCTATGTGTCTTAATTAATTAATTGTTAAAAAGCAAGCTGTAAAGCTTGTAAAAGCACTTGTAAAATGCATTCATTTATTTTGATCTAGTCTTATTTATTTGCCTACATGTTTTAAACTGACTTCTACCTCAAACTCATGTCTCCTGCTGTGCACACATAGTTTTTATTACAGCGGTCCCTCCACATTCACCTGTCAGTAGCTGTATTACAGCTAAGGCACTCTTTTCTGGTCTACTATAATTCTTTCATTTAAGAAAAAAAAAAATTATGAGGAAAAGGGTATTACTCACAAGCTTACAGAATGTAGTTTACTACTTGCTATATTCATTCTGTGAGCAGTTTCCCACTTTGGAAGGAAGAGTGCAAGTTAAACGCTACTTTTTTTACATAAATACCATCCCATGCACACTTTGTCATGCTACCTAGTAATTTCAGAATAAGATACCACAAGTAAAGCACTTTTAAGTACTTCCTGCTTAAGTATTTCAATTGATGAGAACAGAAGTAAGGGTTTGTGAGACTGTGGGTCAGTTATTTCCCAAATTTCACAGTTGCTGTTTTAAAGAAACAAAAATAGATTCCTGTTAAAAAATATAACATTTCTCTGTTTGCGTCACAGTGAACACAATGCTTGATGAAAAAAGGCCAGTACCAAAGTCTTACATCCGCATATTCTGTCAGAATAATAAAGCAGCAACAAGAGTTATCACTCTTCATCCCCACATACATTCACTTTCCCTCTCTCCTTAATGTGCCTTGGGTATGGCCAAAGGAAGCACCTCTGTTCATAACAAGCCAAACTTATTTTGATGTCCACAAAGCCTTTGCAGTGAATAGGAAATTAACCTGAAGACAAGGAAGGGTTCCATACATACATGAGATGAGGAACACAACTAAAAAATCCGGGGTTGACTGAAGTTAGAAAAGGATCACAAAACAAAAAAAAAAAAACAAACCTTTTCTACTGCTGCCTAACATGAACTATGAAACCACACCCCCATTTCTTTGTTGGCCACAAATCTAATGAAATATAACCTCCCTTTTCCAAGGCCTGAGGTTTAATCAGCAGTAGCACACAATTTCGACTCAACATTCTTATTTCAACAAGCCCCTCTTCCCAAAACTTCAGTCACTGCCTTGTCTGGGAAAAAATGAAAACATTTTCTATACTGACTTACACCATATGATTATTTCCCTGTAGTACTGATGCAAGTACCTCATTTCCCTTCAGTCTCACATTGTGACCACCTACACTTTTATATTCTGACCTGCCACACTCTTCTTTGACTGTTTGTACACATTCACAACCTTATCTACCTTTACTTCTAAATGTAAACATGACTCCAGTAGAATCAATCCCAGAACTTCCACATACATATGACACAAATTGAGTTACCTAAGCTGACACAGAGCAAAGAAAGTATATCACGTATGCTATTAAATTAGGATTTCCCAGCAAATGAAATTTCCTGGGGATAAAGAACCAAAGTGAGTTTTAACTGAAACATCTCCACTTTGTCTTAGCTGCTATGAACATTAATAAGAGGAAATTTATTTATCAGTTACAGGAGTAATGTGTTTGAAAGCTTGAATTCCATTACTCAAATCTAGTTGAAAACCCTGTCAGATTCAGTGACTATTTTCTTACCATACCAGGTAGGATTTAGTATTAAAATATTGGAAATTCAATTCATACAACAACAATTAGGCTGTACTAGCAAAAGAATCAAGAAACTGAGAACAGTACCACTTAGAACAGCAAAGGTAAGCATGCAGATGTATCCAACTGAAAAGTAAAATCAATTCTCATATCAGGAAATTTCTTTTTGTCCCATGTGACTCTGTTGCTCCTGGACTAAAACCACAATGATTTGGAGGTTCCCTAAATTAGAAAATGGCATCAGCATCACTCTGATCTTGGGTGGAGAAAGACGAAATCTCCCTCTCAGCACTTGCAGAGCTAGCAAATTCTTCCCCAAAATTTAACTGAAACCCAATTTCAGATATCAACATCATTAGTAACTATTTCAGCAAATGTGAAAAGAGAACGAACACGCACTGACACAGGCAGGAAACAGTAGGACGTGATTGCTCCCCAGTCAAATCTAGTCGTTCCAGCACAAAATTTCCAAATATATATTCAAAATGCGTTCTTGTATGTTATGCATCTTTTTAAAAATTTTCTTTCAAACAGAAGAGATATCTTGCCAAAAGTATGAACTAAAATTTACAGCCAAAACCCTGAGCACTGGAAACGAGCAAAAATGTTTATTCACTTCCAAAAAAATACTGGAACTTGTCACAGAAGTTAAACACACGTAATCCTCCCTAAGCACTTTAGCAGTCAGACTACAGAGCTATTTTAACGTAAGAAGCATATCCAAAACATTCACATAAGGTCTAAAGAAGCATGACATAATGCTGACATATGCAAACCCAAGTTTTGGGTTTTTATTATCCTCTCATGCAGAAGGAAAGAAAGGATTAATCACTGAAGCAGGGTGTGCAACTTCCCAGTAAGGGTTCTCTCAGGACAAAACTAGAGGTAAACAGTTAATGTTAGGAGGATGGACACTATATAAAACCGTAAGTCTGCTCATGGTACACATGATGGGTTTTGTGTGCTACATAGATCCAAACTAGAGGAAACCAACTCCAAATTTAATCTCATTTTTATAGCCTGTGTATTGTAGATAGGAATACATGCTTGTATTCAGACGGATAGTAAACAATGTATTAGTCACCAAAGAGCATCTGTATGTTGCATGTATATTTCTGTATTCTTTAAATCAGAAGTACTATGCCACTGAGGCTAGACTGACTGCAGTATGTAATTTATGCTATTTACACAAAAAACATGATCTTTTTTCTTCCCTGTATGAAGCAGTTATTTTCCACTAACTTCTTACTGTCTGACAGTAGCTAGAACTTTTAGAGGAAACTCTACTGTATAGTGGAAGAGGTATTCAACATTCATAACACTAATAAAAACAACAAACATTATCATTAACCATTTTTTTCTCTGTAGAACAATAGCCACTAGGCAACAAACTGCCCTGCAATCCAGCAAAATAAACAAACACTATAGGACAGGACAAAAGGAAAGACTCGCTCATATGTAGCTACCAAACTTTGCTAATGAATATGATTTTCATCAGAATAAATCGGCTGCTGCTGCTTTGGGAGACAGAGTCCATGTACAATACTCATGACAATCATAACAACATAATTTAGTCAGAATTTACTGTTCTATATATGAAGATAAGTTCAGGAAAGTAGGAAACAGTGGGAAAAAATATGGTTCAGAAACAAGGTCAAGCTTTTACTCCCAGTTTGGCCACCAGCTGTTGATGACCTGAGGGAAGTCATCTCACCGTGTGTCTCAAAGAGACTGAATTTTAGAACAGATTTAAAACTTGCTTGCCTGTGCTACCTAGCTCTGCAATACGTTGAAAAGTGATGTATCTTCCTATGAAACAGTTAAGTAGCTTTTCCAGAAGACAGCACTGTTAAATATGTACACACATACATAAAACCCCTTACCTTCTCCAGGACTGACCGCAGATGGTAGATGGGTCCAGTCTAGGGTCCAAGTGGGGCATGGATGAGGAGCAAACTTTGCTTCAACACCATTCTCCTATGAGAAAAGACAGGGGACAGGGCTTAACAGCCTGATCCTTTACCCACCGAAGCTGGTAGCAAAATTCCTGCTGAATTTAATGGCATTGAATCAAACTGTGCAACTAACTTTCAGCCTAACTGAAACTGAACACACATCTGAGTCTGAGTCTACAGTTTATTGGATTCAAATTATGGATTTCTTTCATTTTCCCAAGAAAGAGGCCAAACATAGAAGCAATGTTTTTTGCCATCTGTTATATAAATAACTTTAAAAGAGGAATATAATTTTGCAATTCAAACAACAATTTACTTTGATTATTCAGAATTATTGATAAGGCTTCCAGCAGTCTTATCGTTGCTCAATTCCTGAATTGACTGTCAAAACAAAAACTTAAAATCATTTCTAAGTCAATGCATATCAGACAGAAGATAGGCAAAAGGTATTAAACTGCTCATGGCTGTCAGACTTTGCTTTTGCTATTCCAATAAATTTTACCTATTCCAAGTCAAGCCGATCATTACAACTAAAAATAACTCATTAAAAAGCAAAAATTACCATTAACTTAGTCATAGTTGGCCTTGGACCACCTATAAAATGATTGTCTTCATTCTCCTCTTCTAATTTATCAGGAACTGAAGAGAAGTCTTGTAACTGTTCTTCTGAAGCAGACTTCAACTCTGGAAGCTGGAGAAACTCCATACTGCATTTGGCAGCTGCTGTCTTTACTCCAGGTACTTCTTGAACTCTTTGATACCAGCTGGATATCAGAGGCAAATTTAAAAGATTTTTGCCTTGGGTTTTGCAGGAAACCTAGAAAATTAAATGGAAAGGTTACTTGCTACTGTAAACTTCTTCTTACAAGGCACAGGAAGGCATGAACTACAGAAGTGAGCTCAGCTCCATGCCAAGCACGCTTACTCATAGCAAGATGCTAATGAAAAAAGCTAGCTAGTTAAAAGCTCGGTCCTGCAGGTAGAACTGACAGTTGGCTATTTAGACTTTATCTGCAATTGCCATTCGCTTAATAGGACAGAAAGGTTTACATGACCAATTTTAATCATAATTTCAATCAGTAACAGGAAAACACTACTTTAATATTCTTAATTATCTGCTATTTCTTAGCAAGGGAATAATTCATTTTTGTTGGTAATCATAAAAACAACCAAGCAAACAAAAAAAAACCTAAAAAAACAACAAGAAAACAAACACAAAAAATCCCACAAAAACAAACAAAACCCCAAGCAGTAATCTGAAACAAATACTGAACTCTATGCAAGACACTATGGTACCTGAATGCTGCTGCTTCCCACAGGCACCCTACAGCCCTTAAAAGCTCACCACTGACAGCGGTTTTGCTGGCAACCCAACCTTAAACACCTTTGACTATGTGGTAACAGCACAACAGGCACTGGCACACATTTTCCCTGATCTTTATGGATGTCTTTGCACTACATCTGTGACTTTTTTTTTTTTTACTAGCATCGAATCCAAAACTTTTTATTTAGGTCATATATTTACTCAAGCTTTTTTACTGTCTTAACTTCACATACAAAAATGGTAATTAATAGACTTCTTTGCTGAATTAAGTATATATGATGGTGAGATGAAACAGCCTTCAGTAGAAAGAGAATTTTAAGTGTAAAAAAAAAACTAAACACCTGTTTAATTAAGAATATAATGCACATATTTCAAAAAGATACCCAAATCTTATTTTTAGATGAAGATCAGCTAATTTTAAAAAGGATGCATGTGATGAACTTAAGCAATTTTTGTTCAGGCTCCCAAATGTTTTGGAATGGTGAAGAACATCCTTGCACAGGAGAGGTTGTGAAGTTTCCATCCTTAAAGTCACCTAAAACCTGATTGGACATGGCCCTGGGCAAGTGGCTCTAGCTGACCCTGCTCCAAACAGAAACGTTACATAAAATGACCTCAAGAAGCGCCCTCCAACCTCAACTATTCTGTGATGCTGTGCCTGCTTTAAGCAGAAAATAAAAATCACTATTACAGGAAAAGGCAGAAAAGGCCATAAGGAAGCAGTGCTCCTCCACATATCTGTCCTCGGTGTGAAAGCAGAGGCTGGTAAAGAAGATTTGAAATGATGTAAAATGTCAAGCAGCTTTCTTGCATGCTACATCTATAATGTTCTTAAGGCAATCACAAGTAATTAGTAACAGCTACAGGAGCCAAGGGAGTATGAACTTGGTAATTTTAGTATCCAATATCCTAATAGTAACACAGGCAGAAGTACATTAATTCAGTTAAGGAAGAAGTCTTTTGGAAAGCAATTCTAAGAGACACCACTACACTTGATAACAAGTGTTCTAAACTGTATTTCAAAAAGTGAATGGTGGTTTCTCCCAGATGGAGAATGGAGCTTTTGTTATTCTTCCACTAATTTTAAACAGTTACAATAGAAAGCGTAACAAAGCTAACCTCAGACAGATAACAGAAATGGAATGAGGTAATAAAAAACAACTCTTCAGCTTCATTATCTTACTTTTGGTAATTACAACTACAATCTCCTAGACAGGTCTCCTCGTAGTTATTGTATGATTCTTCCCAGACACATACCCATTGAGGAATTCATTATTATTCACACCCTTAAAGTAGAGTGGAAGTGCAACTACCATGATTTTATTTTAACAATCCAGGAAGTTCTGTCATGTAAGTGACAAATAACATTTTAATACGGAATTAAACTCCAGTACTCCCATCAACAAGAGAAGTTGCATTTTTAACCCACTGTATGCAAGAAGCTTTCAGATGCAAGTTACCTAATTTTGATGATAACTGGAGGAATCAGGGTATAATTGCTCAGAAGACAGTAACTGACCAGAGAACAGAAATAAAGTAACATTATCCTGGAGCTCTTATAATTTAGGTTAAATGAAACTGAAGGCCAAATTTTTTAGGACTATCCTTGGTGCAAGATAACACAAATATATTATACAATATATAGTTCATAAGCTGCAGACCACCAGGGTTCAAGGGTCACACATGAAAAGCAAATAAATACAGTATTCTTAGCTGCTCATAGTATGTAGAATCATAGAACCAGCTAGGTTGGAAAAGACCTTTAAGATCATCAAGTCCAACCTTTACCCCAGGACTGCCAATTTCACCACGAAACCGTGTCACTAAGGGCCCCATTTGTTGGAACACTTCCACGGACAGAATATGCTCTTCTTATTAAAAAGGCCTTGGAAAAATAAAGACAACTGAAATATATTAAAGTTCTAAAACAGTAGGAAAGTATTTTCTTACTGGTTTTGTTTAGTATCATCCATATAGAAGTTGCTGTTATGTGATGCAGCAAACAAATCAGAGATTAAGCATCCCAGTTCAAAGGTAGCCATATTAACCTACCTCTGGACTCCCGTATTGCTATCATCATGCAGAAATCCACTTAGGACATCTTGGTTAAAGAAGTGATAAATCAGACATTTGTCACATATCAGAGTTAGCTAGGAATTATCTTGATTTAAGAAAATGTTTCTCTAAATCTGACTGACAGCATCTTCTCCAGGAATTATATTTGTTTTCAAACACCATAAGGCAAATTTGGCAAACCAACTTGCAAAATCAAAATGCAAATGCCAGCTTCACTCGAAAACTCTTCCTGGCAACAGACGCTAGTTTAGCTATCAATCTCATAGAGTAACTGCAGGAATACTGGTAGTAGGCAAGATTGCATCATTTTATTGTCATGGGAAATAAAGACACAGTTGTCATTTCCTTAACTGTTTTCTGTGCATACATCCTCATAAAACTAAGTATGCAGATTGTGCTGAGCAAGACTCTCACAGTCCTGTCACAGAATCTTCTCCCACTGTAAAACTCATTTTGAAGCTGAGCTCCAATCAGTTGTACTATTAAGTAGTACCTCTTTCCAGAGGTGAGAAAAGGGTAGAGGGAGAGAAGGGATGCAGGGGCTGTTGGGGTATTTTGTTTTGTTTTTAAGTAAATAAAAAAAAAAAAAATCAAAAATAATAATAAAAAAAAAATCAAGCTGTATGGCTTTATTAGGCTCAGTACATATTTTGATGTATTTTCCTATTCCCCACGTTACCATGTTAAGATATTTGTACGACAGGATCTGCAAGACACTGGCACTTACTAAGTAAGCACTACAAAAAAAAAAAAAAACACCAAAAAACAAGCATCACACACAGAGAATCTCCTTCTAAGGCACAGATGAACTTTGTACAAAGATCCACCACAAAAGATTCAGTAACAAGTGACTATGGCTTTCCCCTACAAAAGGGGTGAAATAAACTTTTAACAGATCATTAATCTAAAGGTACAGAGACATGAGGACCTTACTAATTCAACTTAACAGTCAATATGACCAGTATCTGGCAAACTGCATAACAGAGTGCATGAACTGCTACATCCAGCAGTGTTTCTGCAATGCTGTTCTTTGCTGGGAGCAAAGATTTCTTCTCGAGTTTTCTACGGGCAGTGTGGTACCCTGACCGCCACCTGTGTCAGTGCTTTTTCACTCTTATCTTCATGAAACTCTTGGAAAGTTTCCAATTCCTCCATATACAGATGTTCAACAGAAAGTATGGACTTTCTATTAGTATACAGGTAACACAGGATTCTATTAGAAATTAAAATGCAGTGAACCTCATAGGACTGCAAGGAGAATTTAACTTTCCACTTAGAAACTTCACCCCAAGAGCTTCTGGCAATGTAACCTTTCCCAAGGGACTTCTCCTTGCACTGCAGTAAACAAAGGACCTCCCATAACCTGTGGAAAACAGTTTAGTAGCAACAATACTATGAATGACAAAACTACAGATTACTGAAGTTTCAGGGGCTGAAGAACACACCAATAAATCTGTTTCCCTAGACACACCATCTCATTTCCAAGCAGGCTCACAGTAATCAGTGCTTGCTTGAAGAAGAATACAGATTAAGTTTCGTAAAAACAAAACTGCAAAGAATAAAAGGTTTGCTGACACATTGATACTGTGCTTCCCCAGGCACCCAATTTACCTACAGATGTGCTACAAAACTGCCTTATTTTGTATGTGGGCTTGATAAAAAGCTGGGTTGGCTACACAGGAATGTTTCCTCCCAAACAGAAAAGTCATTCCTAGGAACAAAAAGAAAAGAACAGCAGAGATAAAGAATAATTAACCTATTATGAAGAGAAATGAGCAAATTGGAAGTCATAGCCCAGTGTATTTTAAAAGGAAACACCTGTAGACTAAAGATTCTCAAGAGAATCTCAAGAGATTATATACTAGTAGCATAAACAAATGAGCTTTTGGAAGTCTCTGCCTAGTCAATACCCGAGTACCTCTTCAGCTCTAGTATAGGTAAGTATAGTCAAGGATTTACATCTATGAAAGCCATCATAGTCCCTGAATCTTTTTCCATTCCATGCCTCCCTAAAAGGGATTCTTACTTTCTTAGAAGATACTTCTTTTCTTTTAGGCATATCTGCTTAAAAATCAAAACAAGTCAAATGAAGTCACATAAAGTTTCAAATCTTTGCTGAAAAGAATTCTAATTCAGATAAAATCATGCAGTAGAAGTACAACTAACTGGATAGGAATTTACTGAAACTAAAATAAAAAATAGGTTCATACTTTCCTCCTTTTTTTCTATGCGTATTACAACATATTTTAAATGTTCATTTTAAATTTCTCATGAGGGACATCCCTTCTAGTATTTCAAAATTATAATACCACTCTCAACTCTCCCCCTTTTCAAAATTTAAAATTTATGATGGAATCAAACTTCCAAACCTCAAAAAATTCCTCATGCATAAAATGGTCTCATTTTAGTAAACAGCCATTGAGCCATGGTCATAAATCTGGTACACCAAATTTGAGCAAAAAAATAGGTTCATGTTTATCTATTATTGCTTTATGAACATTAGAATGTACTTTAAGTGTCTGTTTTAAGTATTTTCTTGGAGAAATTTACTGGGCAACTTGGTACTAAAATATTTCAGCATAGTATTTCACAGGTATCAGTGTTTCCCCAGTATTGATATGCTATGTATTTAAAAGCAGTTTCGGTGATCTCACCCTGCTCTTTGTTCACACAGAAACAAAACCAAACCTTCTCTTTTGGGTTAAGTTCACATTGCAAATGTCACAAAATACTTTAAATTAACGTATTTTACAACGTTACAATTCTTAAAAAATACATATATATAACTTGGTATTTGCAGAACTTGTATCTTACCAAGAACTGATGAATGCATGGCAAAAGCACGATGTCTGCAATGGTAAAATAAAGCCCTTCTGCAAAAATGTGGTCCAAAAGTGGAAGGTCTGAGGTTTTTGTTCTCCTGATGTGAGCAGCCTCCCTGTTGACTGCATCTGATGCTTCCGGGACAAGTATCTTGGAGAAAGCTATGCTCAGTTCCAAACTTGGGATTGGATGTTCATGCATTTCCAGTGACCTTTTTTCCTCTGTGACTGCTTTAGCAAGTAGAGGCACTGCAGCCTTTTGTTGTTGAAGTTTCTGCCTTCGAATTTTGTCATCATTATGTACTCGGACAGGCTCTCCGAGCTTCCTTTCAAGCTGTAAAATGGCAGGAGGAATAGTCTGACAGTGATCAGGAGATGCCGCCAAAAATTCTTCAACAGCCAGAGGTATGCTGATCTCACAGAGTCTGGTCCACTGGCTAACCTGTCAGATAAATATATGTAATTAATGCCTCTACAGAAAGAGAAACAAAATCCAAAGTACCTTTCTACCCCCTTTAAGCAAAGAAATTCCACATTTAAATACATTCTTTGATAATCTTAGAAACTCAGGGATTCTGTATTATTTTTGCAACAGCAGAAGTAGGAAGCTAAATTTTACATGTAACAGAATGAACACTTATCCAGAATTGCATATTTTTATGCCTTATTATTGGTGTAAGATTAGAGTGGCTGCGTAACTCATGAGAAGGAAAGCTTATATATGTCATCTCTCCCAAGTGCTGGTAATAAAACCAGATTGCACCAAACAAATTTTGAGCACATTTACTTTACAGACATGCATTATTACAGTTTTTTTTGGCATGCAACATAAAAAAAATTTATTCTAACCAAACAGCACCTTAAAAAAAAATTTTTTTTCATGTTACTGTTTCTTGTCCTACTTTTCTTATTATCTGTACTTAAATGTTTTAAAACTTATAAATTCTTGTCTTTCCTTACTTAGTTTACTCACTTTGCAGCCATCTGAAATATGGAATCAAATTTTCCAGCAGTTTCAAGTACTGGATGAACTAACACAGGGATATGCTTCCCCACACCTGCTACACACCAACAAGGATGAACTGAGTTGGTGACACACTTATCAGTGGCAACCATAGATGTAGTGAACATGAAATAATGGTGTTCAACCTCCTGAGAGGAGTTAGTAGGGCAAGTCTAGATGGATGAACCGCCAGATGAGTAAATGCTACAGATAAATGGGCTCAAGTATCAACTCAAGGGGTAGTAGTGGTTAGTTAATGTCTCGCACTCTACCTGAAGGTCACTTAGAAGTAGAGCTCTTCAGGGACCTGTGCTGAGGCCCATCTTATTTAATTTTCTTTACGAACGACCTGAGGGGCAGATGGAATATACTCACAAAGATAACAGTGAGTTAAGCAGAGCAGTCACCAAACTCCAACAGCAAGCTGCCATCCACAGTGACTTGCACAGGCTGACAGGAACCAACACGAAACTCAACAACTGCACCTAGGATTGACAGTCCCATAATGGCACAGGCTAGGGACTGACTACCTGGCCATGCAGCAGCTCTGCTGAAAAGACCCTGAATATCTTGGTGAGCATAAGCCAAACATAAGCCAGCACCTTGGCAATAATGAAAGTTAACAGTATATGGCGCTCTGGAAATCAAAATTAACAATAAATCAGGTGCTTCCTAGTTCCTCCAAACTGCAAAAGATGTACTTTATAACTCATTGAAACTACCCTGCAGATGAAGCAAAGATCTAACCTTTTTTTTTTTTTTTTTTAATTTCAGTGTTCTTTTAGTGCTGCTAAAAAAAAGTAACTTTAAAAAGAATTCTCCTTCCTCTTTACACCAAAATACAGATACTTCTCTGTTAAGGAAATTCCCATTTCTAAGCAAATTAAGTTTCATACTAAAAGAGCTTGGTTTACATCAACATTATAAGTTCACTTCAGAGAATAATTAATGCTGATTAAAAATCCTATTCATGTATGTAAAAGAGAGACGCACTTACTTCTGCACAGGCTTTTAAGCAGGTCTGCTTAAAGCCTAAGAGTTCCAAAAGATCCTTTTTAGATGGATCTGCCTCATATGTTTTCTGTATTACATGCCTTAAGACAACAGAAAGCCCAGCTCGGCAGAACTTCCCGTCTTTCACAACAACAGCAGGTAAACAGCAGCTCTGCACAACTACTGGAAGCTCGCTTCTGGAGATTACATGGACATCAAGATCGCCAAGGAGGTTTTCTGTCACAAACTGATCATCCACATCTTCTCTAGTTGGCACTAAGAAAATTTTGAATAATTTGCAGTCACAGTAGGATAGCAAAAACAGTGAAACAGATGTATGAAGGGGAAAGATACTATCTCTATACTGATGAGAAAAACCCAAATATAGGTGTTCTTCAGTGACACTGTCTTTCATCTTCCTCCTGAGCTGAAGTTCCTGGAATAAAAATCAGAATACAGTACTCATAAAAGAATTTAGAACAAAAAAAAAAGAGGTTTGAAACTGTGGTCCTATCACTATCTACTAGACCCAATTTTAACACAAGACACTATTAAAGACATGCAGCCTGAATAAGTGGACTGCGGGCCCTTCCTGAGAGAAAAGACTGGCTTCACGTATTTACTGCCTCTTCACATACAAAGATCATTTCCCTATCGGTGACTTGCAAGACTTCTTTTTATATTTTAGAGCATTTCTGGCATTAAGAAAAACATTCAAAACCAAAAGAAAACATTTCCATTTATTCTTTTTTTTAGTGTATAAACATTTTATAGCCAGAATTTTTTTATACATATTTATTTAAATCAACAGTCTCCCACAACATTAACCATCCGTTATTGGAAAAAATGTTCCTGAGCACATAGAATCATAGAAAAGTTACGGTTGGAAAGGACCTTAAGATCATCAAGTTCCAACACCCCTGCCATGGGCAGGGACACCTCCCACTAAATCATATCACCCAAGGCCTCGTCCAACCTGGCCTTGAACACTGCCAGGGATGGAGCATTCACAACCTCCCTGGGCAACCCATTCCAGTGCCTCACCACCCTAACAGAAAAGAATTTCCTCCTTATATCCAAACTAAACTTCCCCTGTTTAAGTTTTAACCCGTTACTCCTTGTCCTATCACTACAGTCCCTAATGTAGAATCCCTCCCCAGCATCCCTATAGCCTCCTTCAGATACTGGAAGGCTGCTATGAGGTCTCCATGCAGCCTTCTCTTCTCCAGGCTGAACAGCCTCAACTTTCTCCGCCTATCTTCATATGGGAGGTGCTCCAGTCCCCTGATCATCCTCGTGGCCCTTCTCTGGACTTGTTCCAACAGTTCCATGTCCTTTTTATGTTGAGGACACCAGAACTACATATCTACAATGGTCAGTTTCCCAATACACACATTTCCCTTTCTGTTCTTGTAATTGTTAGAATTCACATATACAGGGTATTTAGGCCATGGGAAATAATAATCAGTTTCTATATTATATATTAATCTAGAGCCTGGTGACATACTCATTTATGGTCAAGAGGACACATACCAAGAAAAAGCCCATTCATTTCAAGAATGCTACACAAACACCTCAAACACACAACTGCTTTTAAGCAGTTAAGTGCAACAGTAACATAGCTAAAATTAATGTTTTCTCATTATATTAAAAACTTGAATTCATTTTCCTTATACTTGGTTGAAAATTAAATTTCTCCTATTAAACGATTCCATAACTTTTTTTATTAAACAGTGATTCAATAATTTTTCTTTTCCACCAATTGTCCATTAACTGATAAATCATAACTGGCAATGAAGAGCTTTAGACACTAGATGGCACTCTTACAACAAGAATTATAGAAGCAAGCTTGCTTTTAATGAGAAAGAAATGTATGGTTTTTTAGATGCATATATATATACACACACACACATATATATATATATATAAAAACTCGCAAGTAACACTGGAACAGCACCAGTCTTCCAAATAACTGTCTAGATTAATAAGGTCTTCATATGGTTACATGAATATGATGGAATTATTTAAAAACAAAAAAAAGTTTTTATCTGCTAGATCCAGATTATTGGATTTCTTTTTTTTCCACGTAGATTTGTACATCAAATTTACTACTTTATGTTATCCATCACTGGGCAAAATTAATTGTCCAAAAAGAGGCAGTGTGAGAATAAAATCAAGTCCACCTAACATTAAGTAAAGGTCATAATAATGACTCTTATAGTGGAGTATTTTTAAACCATTACATGGCTTTGTCTCAGAACAACAGTGGCTCAACATAATAGTACTACTATTGCTTTTTTTTTAATTAATACATGTGCCACACAAAGAATAGTACAAAACATAATGAAATACCTGCTTTCCTAAAAGCTATTTTATTTGGATGAATCTTGACAGCATATAAATTAAGACAGATTCAATACCCTAAGTACAGCTCTGTGGAAGAAATTATATAGTGAAGGTACTGTTGAGGAGATTAGTCAAATAGCGTTATTTTACCTGCTAGATCCACTTACTAGCATTTAAACTCATATCCTCAACTACAGTACTTCTTTAATTATAAAATGGTACCCTCATATGCATTTGGGTGTTTTTTATTTTCCACAGCAATCTGTAAAGCACACAACCCCATCTTTTCTTGGCCACTCTAGCCACTCAGACATTCACCTTACAAATTACTTCACCATGGAACATTGTCCATTTCACAAGACCAGTTCTTCAATCTCAGAACAGGTACTTAAACACACAAATGATTTCTAGACCTTGACAAACCCATCTGTCACTTCATCATTTATATGACAGTGATTCATTCTGGTTCATACAAGCAATCAGATCTCCCAAATAAGAGCCCTGATCCTGCAAGTACTCATGGTACCTGACCTGAAGGTGTCTTTGCAATATACTGTCCTGTTATTTTCAAATATAGCCCTAAATTTTTCTCATACATCACTACTATTTTTCCTACCAAAATCCCTTTCTCTTCTCAAATTTGCAGTGCTACGACACTGAAATTGCTTTCCCAGAACCATACTCCCTGTTCTGCTATTGATATGGTCAATTTAGATCTGAGTTATTAAACTTACTGAGTGGAGTGGAACAAAATCCATTCTTAATCAGGGTCCATTTGGGACAGTAAAATTTCTCTGTTTCTGCAGCTGCCCTTCAAGGGATGAAAAGATGAGCTTCACTCAGCAGCAAAACAAAAGAAATGTTGCACTTGAATTTTCCATCTGCATCCTCCAGATGTTTCTCTCTGCTTTCGCTATGCCCACCATGGTGGCCCAAGGACACATCTCCTTTACAGCTGCCAAAGAACTTGCACCTAAATTACAAGGGAGCCCAAACAAACATGTCAGATTATGTATCTTTAAATACATAATAATTCAAGACCAATTATCAAACTAAGCATTTTTAAGACTCTTAACTATTGACTGCACTATTTTGGCTTTGAGGAGTACATCTGCCTTGTGGATTTATGCACAGCTTGAAAGACTTAGCAGCCTTCCTGGTTGCCCATTCTCACGTAAGTATTTTCACATAACTACCACCCTTGCATTAAATGTGATAAATTTATAAATCCCTTGGAGCTCACTAGAGAGTATGCTTTCAGTCTTATAAAAGCTGCCAGACACATGCAATAAAACAAAGCATAGAACACAGAACTAACAAAACCTACAAGACCTTATTACATTATTCACTGACAATAATTTTCCTGATTTTTTTTTTTTGTCTAATTAGACTAAATTCTGAGGGAAGAGATGCCCTTTATACTATACTGGCTTTATTTACAGTAGCCACTGTTGGAAGAGGGAAAGGCAGAAGTAACAAACATCACAAGATTGTAATGTAACTTAAAGACAAGATAAATAACGATGTCTGCCTTTGGTATAAAGATCACTATGGCTATTTAAAACTAATAAACGTTACTTAATTTTCACTAACTGTGCTGCTTGCTACCATTATCCTTTTCAAGATGCACTGTACAACAGATGAATGAATTTCACTGAGCTGCTGTGTTATCAATGTAATCGAAGATTATTGGTTTAAAAACGTTTCCCAGGGAAACTAAACTGAAAAAAAAGTAAATAAATACATAAACATCTTCTTCCTTTTAGTTGTTGAAAAAGATTTCATTTACTTACTGATCACTACATGTAACCAACAAGTTGATTACTAGATGGCAAACCAGAACTTCGGCTGAATGAACATTTAAAAAACCCTCAACATAATAAGTTGAAAAAGCAGTTTTCCTCCAGCAAGCATTTAACTTAATACAAAGCAATGTGCTTTAAGGCCAAACCCCTGGATTTTGGAGCTGTATTTCTATCCAGACCAACAATTTGCTGTACGAGTTTAGAACCACCATAGAGAGATGATCCTCGAGGTCTCTTCCAACCTGGGATTCTATGACACTACAACTCTGTCCTCAAGTGAAACCTAAGAAAAGCATAGAAGCTTTCATGGGGCACTTCAAACCAGCATTTCAGACAGGTATATCAATAAGGTAAGAGCTGTTAACAATTCAAGAGCGTAAGATACAGGCTATGAAAAAAAAAAAGAAGCCAAACTTCAGAATAACACCACACTAAATCACAGTTATCGCAGAATACTACTGAGGTAAAATTCCTTTGCAGACGTACTCCATCAAACCTCCACTCCAAACTTCTCTCAGCAGTTTGTCAGTCCAGGAAAATCGGACCTGGTAGCGAACACTGAACGACAGCAAATCTCTTTTCCCTCAGCTACTATTACTGGTCTTCCCCCATAAGCACCTCAGCAGGGAGTTTCCAGCCAACCTTTCTTTACTGAGGAGAGACCCAGCAGCCAACGGGGCAGCCGCGGCCGTTCTGTGTGAGGGCGCCCAGGCTCCCCCCGGGAGGGCTGCCCCCTGAGCCGCCGCAGCCTCGCCAGCCGCTCCCTCTCAGGGAGCTCCCTGGAGCGCCGACCTCTTCCCGCCGCAGCAAGACAAGACAAGACCCGCCACAGCCACCTCGCTTGAGGCGGGCGCGACTCCCGCCTTACCCCGCCCCGCACGCAGCGCGCTCCCGACCCCGCACACGGCCGCCAACACACCGCACCGGCTCTGCCGCTTCCGCCCTGACTCCGCCCCTTCCTGCGCGCGGTCCTAGCCGGTGCTCCGCCTCGGCCGGAACCTCTGTGTTGGGGCTCTGGTTGTGGGCGAGGAGTGGTGAGGCGTCGGACCCAGGTCCGTGAGGGCGTCTTTATCCTGCTGCTCGGTAAGAAGGGGGTCGGGAGGAAGGGGTTTGGATGAGTGCGGTTTATATTCACACTTGGAGTCCGTTCTTCTCAGCGGGTGCTGCCGCTCCTCCTGTTTGTGTCTGAAGGGACGGTCGCTCCCGGTGCCGCGATCCTTGGAAGGAAGAGCGGGCCGGGCAGTAACGGGAGCGGGGGGAGGGTCCCCGGAGCCGCGCTCGGGGATCTGCCGGGGTCTCGGGGCGGCGTGTCCGGCACTGTGCGGGTATTTTGGTATTAAAGGTGGTGGCGTTTTGCTCTCCTAAGCGTTTTGTCTTGAAGGAGTTACTTTCTGTCATTCTTAAGGGGAAAGTCAGGGAGAAATTTGCAGCAGGAATGTTGCAAAGGATCGGGTGCTGGCTTTGGTGTCACTAATTCGGCAGTTCAGCTTTAACGAAAGCTTGTTTTTTCCACTGAGAAATCGCCAGGAGAATGGTATCTAGGGAATGTATAAGCCTGATAAATTTTGGTAGGCGTTGAATTAGGGAAGGGTGGAGATGTAATCAATTTACCAGTAACTTAAACCAGTGGGCAGTGACATCTGTTTGAACAGTATCTTCTAGTCCTTTTTTTGCAGAATAATGAAGCTTGGTGGTAGCAGGAATTAGCAAATCTCAGTTGAGTTGGGATGATTATCTCATTTAATTGAATAAAGACTTTTTTTATAAAACTGATGTTTATGGCAACACAACTATAGGAACAAAAGCTACTGTCATCTTTGAGAGGCCATGAGATTGGGGGAGGTACCCCAAAACTACAGAAAGGCAAATCTTACATTCATCTGCAAGAAGGACAATACAGAGAATTACAGGCTGGTCAGCTTCACTCCTTCCGCCTGCATGAGGAAAGCATTTATAGGCATAAGAAGGTGGTGACTGGGAATAGACAGCTTGGGATCTACCAAGGATAAATCATGCCAGACTAACTGGCTTGTCCTCTGTGACAAAATAACTAGATCTGAAGGTGAAGGGTGAGTGTTGGATGTCGTCTACCATGGCCTTGGGGGGACCTAATGGAATCCTTTATATACCTAAGAGAAGCCAGAGCTAGTCTTTCTACTCGTGTGGACTGCAGGAAAACAAGAGACAGCAGAAGTTGCAGCTTCCAGTTCAAAGTAAGGAAATTAGGACAGTCAAGCACTGAGACAGGTGTCCCAGAAGGTTTGTCACATTCCTGCCTTTAGAGATTTTTAAGATCCAGCTGGACAAAGTCCTGGGCAAGCTGATCTGAATGCAGTGTTGACTTTGCTTTGAGCAGGAGGTTGCACAGAGTGACCACTTGGGCTTCCTTCCAATTTTAATGATTCTGTGATTCTTAAATAATGTGCTGTTTGTGATGAGTTGAAAATAGCAAATAGAGGGCACTAGTGCAGTCTTACAAAGTTACTCTGGTATTGATTGAACTATTAAAAAGTACAGTATAAAATATATAGTAAATTAGAATGTAAAATGAAGGACAGCAGTACTAGTAACTCTATAGCAGAAGATTTAATCCAGTCTTCTAAAAGTCTTTCAGAAGATGTCAAATGAATAAGAGCTGCTTAATACAATTGTTCTGATTATTACAATTGTCCATACTACTTAAGTGTGTGGGTTTTGAAATATCCCTCATGGGAGGTAACTGAGAAATTACGTTATCATTAATTATGTTGTCATGATAAAGGTACTAAAACAAAAACTGAAAGTAGAAGTTGGTTTTTTCCTTCTTTTAAGATTTTTCTTGATCTGCTTTATTAAGACTTAACTCTGAGAGTGATCTGGAAAAGGCGTTGTTGGTAAATAAGCAAAATCTGCAACTGTCACAGACATTAGGTTGGTGAGGAAGACAGAAAATCCTGAGGAATAGAAGAATCCAAAGGAGAAAGAAAAAGAAAAGATTAGTTGATATTATGGTGATAAATTATTGATGAACACTCTTCAGTGCACTGGAAGAAATTTTGTGCTACTGATTCATGTTTTAAGTTAACTGCTACAGATGTTGAAGGCCGCTAAAGAGGATATGTGGAAGTCCTTTTAATCTTCAGTGTCAGAGAAAAAGTATTGCTGAGTTTATAAAGAATAGGTGTGATAATAGCATTGCAGTGTAGTTTGATAATAGCATAGCAATAAATTTAAGGTGCGTACTTCCTTGGAAAATATCTTAAACTGTATACCTGTCTCAGGAATAGGAGCTCAGAAATAGATGAAAATACGGTCATGTCTGAAAATGTAATGTGAGTAGATCCATTTAACTGAAAGTTATGATAAATAAGATAATACATGTGTAGGCATGCAAAATAATAGTTGTCAAATAAATTTTTTTAAAAAAGGGACTCTCACACCCTGGAAATCTAAGAAGTCTATTAAATTGGAAGGCCACATATTCTGCATAGTGCTCAATTAAGCTTATGTGTATTTGGCAGAAGACAATAATATGTTCAAGAAATGAGAGACTCAAAAAAGTTCATAGATGTTTTAAGAATAACAACCCACTAACATTTTTCACTCACAGTGATTTAAACCACTTAGTTTGCTCACTGGGAGGTTGCTCCATGATCGTCTATTGTAGGATTTTTCATGTTATCACAGATACTTCAGAGGGGTTTGTTACCTTATATTTGGTCTTGTCTATCCATCATTAAAAGTTCTCATATAATAGTGAAGAAGTGTCAGACAGACACCTAAGTTAAGAAAGATCATAGAATCATAGAATAGTTAGGGTTGGAAAGGATCTTAAGATCATCTAGTTCCAACCCCCTTGCCATGGGCAGGGATGCCTCAGACCATGTTGCTCAAGGCTGTCCAAGCTGGCACTGAACGTTGCCAGGGATGGAGCATTTACAACTTCTTTGGGCAACCCGTTCCAGTGCCTCACCACCCCCACAGTAAAGAACTTCTTCCTTATATCTAACCTGAACTTCTGTTGAAGTTTAAACCTGTTACACCTTGTCCTATCACTACAGCCCTTGAGGAAGAGTCCTTCTTCAGCATCCTTGTAGGCCCCCTTCACATATTGGAAGGCTGCTATGAGATCTCCATGCAGCCTTCTCTTAATGGGTTAATGCTTAGTTGCAAGAGTGTGTGCTTGAGTTCCTGTCCCTGCTCCATGAGTTGCCTTCATGTTCACTTCAGTTACTGCTTTGTGCAAAACAGTTCTCCTCTGGGTTGAAGGATTATAACACAGCTCTCTGATCTTAGAGCTGCATTATCTAACTGATACACAAAAAACATCATACTACTCACTTTTTTTCCTAGGCAACATTTAAATTACCTTCTGTATGAAGGTACCACTTCAACAGGAAAGTCAAGGAGTCCTCTTGCACAGAATAACATATGGCAGCATTGTTAAAACACTGTACTACAGCTCCAAGGCTATCAAGTTGCTATATGCTGACTTCAGTACCAGAAGAGCAGTTTTTGAATGAAAAGATGAATGAATACAATTCGGTCTTAGGTTTATAAGTGTCAAACCAGTGTTCTGGTCTGTAAACCTGGAAAATTCCACTAGCAAAAGCAATAAGATGACTTTTGTAGCCAGCCACGTAATGGTATTAGCCTTGTGTCAATTTACTTTTTTTCAGATTATGGCAATTTTAAAACACATCAATTTTAATTGATGTGTTCATCTTTCCATTAAATATACTTACCTTCTTTAACTTACAGTAGATTTTAATTTTAAAATATATGCCTAAACTGAGCATACTTGAGCTGTTTAATAAGCCCGGTTCCTTCCCTTCTCATGATAAATTTCTTGTGATATGCCAGTTATAACTGCAATAGCTTATGATATTATAATTCACCCTTAGGAACAGAGAAAGAATTGCTCAATTTGGTATGCAAATAAAACAAGAAATACTGAGAACCTTTTTGAAATTTGGGCTTTAACAGTTTCTTTACAATATATGTCTTTAAAAGGATAGAGCTAGAAATAAATCTGGGAAGTGTTACCGACAGAAAGATGAAAATGGAATTAATTTGCTTACACTTGCTGTCTAAATACTACAGGCATCCTGAATTGGCTGCTAATGACTGTTGAGGTTACCTGTTCCTTGCATACACAAATATATATTCCTAGAAGAAGGCTCAGAAAGGAAGCTGAAAGGTTGTTTGGTTTTTGTTTTTTAACAGGGAATTATTCCACATTTCTGAAGGTTTTTTTAATTCTACTGTTTTCATTCAGCAGAGGGTTTAGCAGAGTCCTAATTTAAGAAATGGAAGAGAGAACCTACCCACAGAACTCAGGAGCAGCAGCCTGAAAATTTATCAGAGGTAGATGCATTAAAAAAGAGGGTATGTGCTTTCCATGCGCATTGAATTCACTTCTTATAAACATCAGAAAGAGACTGTATTGTCTGCATGGGGCTCACACCACAGTCTCTGCTTGGTCATTGAAAAAGCAGGATAGCTGGTGTGTGGTACTTACTAGAAGTTCTGTGGCCATCAAAATGCGATTTGACAAGTAGCAAAGATGAAGGAAGAGAGAAGAGACTCTTGAGGAAGATTCGTAGCTCTCTGCTGGGTCCATTGATAAAATCCCTATGAAATCTGCTGTATCTCAAACTCCTTGATGTTTTCAGTCAAGCAGTTCTCTGGTGTCTTGTAAAAGCTCAGCGTGAGATAAAGGCTCCTGGAGACTTCTAGGGAAGTGCTGAGGGAGCAGGCTGCCACTGCTGGTGTTTTGGCCAGAGAGGTAAAAGTTCACTGCCTTGAATGTGAAAAGGAATTCATCAGACAA